TAATTCCTGCATGCGTGGGAGCTAAGATAAGCTAAGTATGCACACAACAAGGGGGAAGAAAGATCAAGAAAGGTAATAGCTTACGTTAAAAAAAAGTCGATAACGAACGAAAGGAATTATTTTATCAATGATCCTGAGTTAGTGACGTTATGAACGCACTTAAGAGTTTGGATTTTTATACATGCAATATATATATATATATGTTGACAATCATACAGCCGTAAAAGATTCTGGTATAAATTAAAAGAAAGAATTAAGCCCAGGTCATAGACAAAGGAATTAATTGTTAGAAGATTGTATAATGGATATTCCATAGCGTCCATAGAAGGGTAAAGTAATAACTAATACCATGAGCCACAGAATGGAAGATAACTTAAGACAACATAAAGGCCGATCAGAAGAAGAAGGAAACTAAAGAGTTACATCAACAAAGTAAATCAGGAATCTGATTATTGGACCCAAAAGTTATAAGAATCATGATTGAGAATATAGCAGAATCACTCTTAATATTAGAGGTGCAAGAGAGATAGCACAACAACTATCCTCTATAACGGCTCTACGATAAAGCCAGATAGAAGGGTACCAGTCTCATAAGAAGTCAGTATGAAACTCCCATGGGATTGTGTATGTACCAGAGGTGCAAGTATTATAATAGAGCTTCAAGCTATGGACGTGAATTACACATAGGTGGAAGGAAGGTCATGAGAGAGATAGAAGGTACGATGCAAGATTTTAAGGTAAGTAAGGTAAAGGTGAACAATGTACGAGATGCTGAAAGGCAGAAGATTGTAAATAGTCCATACTTCGGATAAAAGGACCAGAAGCACGAGGATTCAATATCCAAGAATGATAGCGGCATCATCAGTGGAATATCTTCTAGTCAATCATTTCTAGGTATCGAGAGGTCTAGTTAAGAAAGTAAAGAAGAGTTAGAGACGATGTGATGTCTCGCTTGATGTTCTAAAATAACACAAGGAAATTTAAGCAAGTTGAAGGAAGATTACGAGTAGTATAAATAGATATGTATAGGCCGTGAGCTAAAGTATGGTAAAGCGACAAGGTTTTAGGAAGAAGGAATACGGGTAAGAAAAAGCAATGAGAAAGTGACGAGAATGCATTAGTCCTCAGGATTAGGGCCATGAAAACAAGGGAGCTAATGGCTCCTCTATGTTATAGTAAGCTTAGTATAGCCTGAATGGACTCAAAGGAGTTACTCCCCATAAGTAACGTTTAGATGAGATGGAATGTTGTCCTAATAGTAGAATAAGGGTATAATTATGATAGATAAAGGATGACGTTTGGGCCTTCGATTGAGTAATAATTCGAAAAACAAGAAAAAAGAAAAGGGATCCATGAATCGTATGGGTTTAGAATACTCACGTAAGAGAATCACCTTGGGATGCTATAGAATATGGTTATTAAAGTACAATATCGCTGCAAAGTGGATCAGGAAAATTACTTCGAATATTCCTTGATGTAACGTAAGCCCTAGGGGCAAAGTATCACGTAAGAAGTTTCAAGTTATCAGTGGAATATTGTAGATCAATATTGAGGTGAATCAACAATGGATGGACAAAAGTCACAAAGTATGAGATGAGATTAGGTCGTCATTCTAAAGATGAGCAGTAATGAGAATGCATTATAGGACTTAAATTCATACATATCGAATAAGCAACGAGAGTAAAATGGGATTTGGTAGCTGATCTGAGCAATGATAAATTAAAGTAAGAGTTATGGCAGTAAATTCATACGTATGGCTAAACGGACCTATGCGATGAGATAAATATTTGTGAATTCAACAAAGTACCGAGCAAAGAACTTCAGTATACTCATAGGTGCCCAAAGGGACATCTTATCAAGCTCTACATATGAAGCCTAGAGATTGGGCACACTTACAAGGTCAAAATTGTACAGGCTGCATGATGAAAGGTAGCAACAGTTACGAGATTGGAAGAATTCCGACTACAAGTTGTGGTGTGAGCAGGAGGCCTAAGGGGGGAATGCCCTAGACTTTGGACTCATTCATAGAATAGTCGCCTAGATAGCAAGGGAAGTTCTAAATTATTCGTAAGATATAAGTTATGAAAATGATAAGTGCATCAGTCAACATTCGAGGACGAATGTTCCAAAGGGGGGAATAATGTTACGCCCCACAATATTACGAAGATGTTATGCTTTGCAGTAATATATTACGATGATGTTTCGCTCTGAAGTAATATATTACGATGATGTTACGTCCTGCAGTAATATATTATGATGATGTTATTGCAGTATTACATTACGGTGATGTCACGCTTCGCAGCATTTAGTTACGATAATGTTGCACCCTGCAGTATTACATTACGGTGATATTATGCTTCGCAGTAATAAGTTACGACGATGTTGTATCATGTAGTATTGTACGTTGAATTTGTCGTAAGGTAATTGGAATCAGTCCACGGAAAAGATTATTTGGGGATTATAAGGATTATAAGTGATGAGTAAATTCATGAAGGTAAGAGGGTAAGTAATATCGAAGAAAACGAATTTTGTCGAAGTTTGGCATTTTGAGATAAAATACGGCCCGAGCTAAAATACCCGGTAATTATAGATTGGTACCATACAAGGTACCACATAGCCATGATAGTAAGGTGTATAAGGTGTGTTAAAAGAGAATAGTATTTTAAGTAATTCGAGACAATTTTTTAAATTATGCAGGTAATTAATTAATTACTGGATAATAAAACATTACCCAATTAACTAATAAGTGGTTAAGGATTACTAATCTTCAATCCACTCTCCACGTGGCACAAGGTCACCAATTTAGGAGGTGACCCGTAGCAAATGGTAATTTGGTGTCTACACCAAAAGAATGAATAAAGTTTAGTCTTATCAAGATAAGACTTGATAATTATTTCATTATAGAAACAAAAGCTATAAATCTGATTCCATTCCATTCCATTCAAACCAAAAATATGATATAAATTTAGTATTCAATTCCATTCAAAGGCTTGAAACAGAAGCAAAAACCCAACAAACACGTAGGAACATGATTACATCTCATTCTGTCTTTGGTCTTAAAGACAAAGACGTGAGAAGCAGAAGGCAATTTCGTTCCAATTTCAAATCCAAATATAAATTTCGTTCATATTTCATAGAAGCAGAAACTTGATTCCGTTCAAATAATTCCAGGAACAGGTATATTAAGGCTATTCCTTCTTTCTTTTGGTATGACCCATACGATACGAACGAAACGTGCAAATGCACAAATTTTATGAATGACTCTATTCATAAAAGTATTAGAGATATCTATGTTCTTAAATTTTCATGTGTCATAATATTTTATCATTTGTTCATGGGTCTCAGAAAAATACGAAAGTTGAAAAGACTTTATTTTATGATATTACTCAAAGGCAAAATGGTCTTATGACATTTCGAAAGGTTTTATTAACGTATTTTTCATGCATTGTATTCATGTACATTGACCCGTGACCAGATGGAATTATATACGGGTATATATGTATGTATTTATGTATATGTATATGGGGTATGGGAAAAGTTATGGCGTTATATACGCACCACCACCTGATCAGCTAGTATACGTTGATGATTTGCCCACAGTGGCCAAGATGATATGATGGGATGCCCTCAGAGGCTTGATGATGTTATGAACACATGTACCTATGGACGACATAACATTCATATGCATATGCATGACACTATAATTATTTCGTATTTACAAAGTTATTCAGACTTACAGGTTGAGTCATGTACTCTATATTTCTTCCATGTCTCTTATATATTTATTTATGTGCCTGACATACTCGGTACATTATTCATACTGACGTCCCTTTTGCCTGGGGACGCTGCGTTTCATGCCCGTAGGTCCTGATAGACAGGTCGAGAGCCCTCCAGTAGGATATCAGCTCAGCGGAAGATGTTGGTGCACTCCATTTGCTTGGGAGTTTCTTGTTTGGTTAGTATGATTTAGACGTGTATTGTTTGGTATGGCGGGACTCTTTCCCGACCTTTATGACATTTATGTACTCTTAGAGGCTTGTAGACATATGTCGTGTACGTCAAAGATTGCACGGCCTTGTCGGCCTATGTTTTGAGTTTATAAATGATCATGTTAGCCAATTAGGCTCGTATGTCACATGTATATGATGATGTAATAAGACAGATAGTTACGTTGGTACTCGATTGAGTAAGGTACCGGGTGCCCGTCACGACCCATCGCTTCGGGTCGTGACATACGGATAGGAAATTGATGACAACATTGTTGAGGAAACTAATACTTTCTTCAACTTATTGATTCGACTGAGTAGTAGTTCACGTCTATTCGAACTATTGAGCTGAATGTTAAGCCAAATTTTTTTGTATTAGTGAAATATTATTTTATAAAGTAATTATACCAAGAGTGAGAAGAATAGTAAGAACTAAATGGAACAGTGACGTTCTTACAATCCGAATACCATTAATTGTTCCCAACTATAAGATCATATTATAATAGGATTACCAAATAGAGAAGGCTTCATCAATGGAACTATGGTATTAATCATACCTTTACTGCCAAAGTTACAAAGAGAACTATCAGAACATGAAGTATTAGAAAATATAGTATATCACACTGATATCGCACCAATGGTAGACAAACAAAAAAACTTATTAGATGAATTACCAGTATATTTAAACCGTCATATTTTTCTTTTCTCTAGTTGGACAATATTTTAATTAATGCAAAATTCACACTATTCAGTTGATGAAATACCACATTAAAACCTCTTTTCTAGATGACATTCAGTATTTTTTCATCAACATGAGTCTCTTGAAATGTAAGAAGGCAAGTTATAGAAAAATGTACTTGCACCAATTCATGATATAACAATTTCAAAGAATAAAAAACAGATTATATTTTTTTCCAAAAGTAAAACAAACCTATTAAATATTTCAGGAATCATGGTAACAACTGTTTTCCCAATTGGTTTATCAAACTTTGCAAGAAAAGTATTACATAAACCTTAAAATCCTTCTTCATTAGGTTGTTTGAATGTAGAAACCAAAGCTCCAATTTCCTCTGAACTACCACCTAAATCACCTACATCATTAGACTCCTTGGATGCAGCAACCAATGCTCCAATTTCCTTTGAAATACCACCTAAATCACCTACTTCATTAGGCTGTTTGGATTTAGCAACCAATGCTTCAGCAGTGGAAGCGATCTCAACTTGCTCCTCCGTTGTTGCCGTTGTTAAAACATTTGAAATTTCAATAAGAAGAATAACTGACTCACTGGAAGTAGATGCAGGCACATCTGGGTCACCTACTTCATTAGGCTGATTAGATGTAGCACCAAATGCTCCAATTTCCTCTTAACCACCACCTAAATCACCTACTTCATTAGGCTGCTCCAATCTAGCAACCAACACTCCAGATATGGATGCAATCTCAACTTGCTCTTCTGTTGCTGGTGTTGCTAAAACATCTGTAGTTTCAATAGGAAGAATATTTGATTCATCAGGAGTAGATGTAGGTAGTTCAGATGCTACACTCTTTGTATTTGGATCCTACAAATGTTTCTGGAATCACCTCAGCAACTCTTTTCCCATTTGGTTCATCAATCCTAACAATAAAAGTAGTAAATTCAAAAGAAGATGTATTTATTTATGGAATTGCTGAATCATCAACAGTAAGTTCAATTGGTCATGGAGGGACCAACTACATATTTGTCTTAACTACTCATAAGAGGAAAAGAAATAGAACCATAAATGACAGAAATTCAGCATTGAGTTTAAAAGAATATTTGTAGAAGTTTACAAAGAACCTACACCATATTTTTGTATGTAATGTAGTTTCAGAAGTTCTTTTTCCAACGACACAAGCAGAAAATGGTTTCAACGTGAATACAGACAATATTCTTTCCAAGTCTAACTGTGAAAAGACCAAAAATATATAACTGAATTTAAAAGTATATCTGTATAAATCAACAAAGAATCTTGGTCTAATTTTTTTTAAGTTGTAGTTCCAGAAGTCCTCTTTCCAACGGCACAAGCGGATAGCAATTTCGACATGCCATTGGAGAGATAAACATTATTTAGTTGGAACGTGCAAAGCTGTAAAAATCAGAATTGTAGAAATTTAAATTGAGTTGAAAATAATATCTGTATAAATCTACAAAGAATTTGGACCTGATTTTTGTAGATATTGTTGCTTCAGCAGTCTTCTTTCTAACGGCATAAGCGGAACGTGGTTTTGACCTATTTGCAGAGAGATATAAATTTTTTAGTCAAGACGCACAAAGCTGTAAAAACCTTAATACCTGAAATTCAGAACATAATTCCAAAGCATATTTGTATAAATTTATAAAGAATGCTAACCTTATTTTTGTACATATTGTAGCTCAAAAGGTTCTCTTTCCAACAGCACAAGTGGATCGTAATTTCTATCAACATGCTAAATAAAACAATGTAAACAAAAGACATTATCATCAACAACAAAAATCTTAGTAGTTAAATAATTTAAAAGTAAACAGAAGAAGCGTACCACCTCAACAATTGTCAGAATAAATTTCAAAAAACTTCTTTAATTACTACATTTGTAGCTACAGTAGTTATTTATCCATCATCATCATAGACCAAAATTTTTAATCCCTTTCTAGTTGTCACCCCGGAAAGAGCAGCATATAGTTGTCCATGGGTAAATAGAGGTTTCTTCAAAAATAATCCCACATGAGACAATGACTGTCCTTGACTTTTATTGATTGTCATGGCAAAAGATGCGGTGATTGAAAATTGTCTTCGTTGGATCTTAAATAGAATTCTAGCATCAGATGGAGTCAATGTCATTCTTGGGATAACCACTTTCTGTCCAGCCATATGTCCTGATAAAACCTTGGCTTCAATAACTTGATTTCCAAGTTTAGTTATGATCAACTTTGTTCCATTACACAGTCCTGCTGATTGGTCAATATTTCTTAATAACATCATCGGAACACCTACCTCTAGAGTAAGAGCATGATTTGGAACTCCAGAACATTTAATAGTATTCAAAATTTCTGGTGTGTGTACATGTTTCAATGCTGAATATGTTTGATCAGAGCTGCAAATTGTATCGGAACTCAAATATGATTTCTCAGGAATATGATTGAGTGAAATCATATATTTGTTGATTGATTCTACCATATCAAGAGTTGGAGCAAGAATGACTTTTTTGTTGGAGGTATCCTATATCGTTGCAACAATTGATAAAATCAGGATATGTACTTTCTACAATTGCAGATATGGGATCAACAGAATCTTTTATCAAAAGATCATCTGGTATTTTGACTTTTTCATTGCCATCAACTGATTATCAATCATACCATCACCAATTGCCAAAATCCAATCTGAGAAAACTTTCAACTCTTGCATTTGGGGCCCTATTTCATGACTTTGCAATCTCATATTCTTTGTTAGCGTTAAGAGTTGACAATGAGACCATAAATAAGAAGAATAGAGAGAAGCATTAACAATACCTTGCCTAGTACCTTTTGGAATGACATGTAATATTTGTATGAAGTCACCGCCAAGAATAACTATTTTACCTCCAAATGGACGTCCTAAGTTGGATGCATCTTTGAATCTAAGAATACCTCTTAGAGTTCTATCAAGAACGTCAAAACAATATCTATGCATCATGGGTGCCTCATCCCAAATAATCGACTTTGCCTTGACAATCGAATTTGCTAACAGAGAACTTTGCTTGATATTACATGTTGAATATTCAGTAAGATTGAGTGGAATTACAAATCTTGAATGAGCTGTTAGACCACCTGGTAACAAAAGAGATGCAATCTCGCTAGATGCAACAGTTAGCACAATATCTCCTTTAGATCTTATGGCAAAAGAAACAGTCCTCCAAATAAAAGTCTTGCATGTTCCTCCAAAACCATATAAAAAGAAAAATTCACCTTTGTCTTCATTCACTGCTGTTATTATTCTTTTATAAATACAATTTTGCTCATCTGTCAAATTCTTTACTAACTCTTCATGTTCCTCCGCTAAATCGCGTCTATTACAACACAATTCATCTCGAATTAATCTGTTACTGATGTCAACTTCTTCCTCTTTATAAACATGCGCTGGCATTGTTAGAAAATCCTGAAAACTTCTTCCATAACCTTTTAAGAAGTTTTCCAACTTTTGCAAGCAACGGTTTTTCAACTCATTATCTGTTAGGTCAAATTCTGGAAAAAAAAAAATACAATTTCAATTAAATCTTACGGGTTATTGTAGTTACATGAAATGAATAATAATATTAATGGATCGGTAAAATGCAAAATGGTGATTTAGATGAATTTGAAGGCCATTTTAATTATCCGCAAAATTGAAGCAATAAGATAGTCCAAACCATCTAATTCATTTAATTGAGAAAAACTACAAACCTTGAAGTGAAGATGCATTTTCTTATACCTAATGTTACTTGATATGCCTTAACAGGCATGCAGGATGATCAGGGAAGTAACGGTAGCTATAGCAACATTGGAGCAAATGCAAGTTACTTTAAGCAAAAGCATAATCAGCAAATGTACTTGCAAATGTTAGGCAACTATCCTCGAGTGGTGTGGAAGTGCATGGTTTTTAATAATGCTTCAAGGCCAAAGGTGTCACGACCCGGATTTTCCACTCTCGGGAGTCGTGATGGTGCCTACTCGTGAAAACTAGGCAAGCCGAGTATTATAGATTTACTAACTCTTGTATTTAGCCCTTTTAACAGTTTAAAACAACATATGATCAACAGTAGAATATTAACAATTATTAACGAAATGCGGAAGACGTAATCTGATATCTTAGCCAAATACGAGTACGACAATACTAAGTACATTACTACCCGGAACTGGTGTCACAATATCGCAGACCATCTACGAATACTACAAACAATTGTCTGGAAAGAAAGATACAATCTGTCTCTAAAGTAAATGAAAACAGAATATAAAGATGGAGGAGAACGCCGGGGCCTACAGATGCCTGTAGGACTACCTCGGAATCTTCGACTAGACTGAAGGCAACCACCCAAAGCTATGGTCCAAAAGTTACCGCTCCGGGATCTGTACACAGTGTAGAGTGTAGTATTAGCACAACCGACATCATGTACTGGTAAGTGCCTGGCCTAACCCTGGCGAAATAGTGATGAGGCTAGGACAAGATTACCAAATAAACATATGCAATTATATCATATACAGCGAAAAATAAAGATAGAAAGGTACAATTAAAGATGGGAGGGGGACATGCTGGGGGGAAATATCATTTACCGACAATAATTTAGGAGAAAATCATAAAGAACAATTTAAAATCTACAGCAAAAGAATAAGGAAGTCGTAACCAATCGATAACCACTTTTATTATTATTGTTGCGGCATGCAACACGATCCAAACCATAAAATTACTGTTGCGGCGTGCAACCCGATCCATATCATAAAACACTGTTGCGGCATGCAACCCAATCCAATTATAATATTTTTGCGGCATGCAACCCGATCCACATATAATATTGTTGCAGCGTGCAACCTGATCCGAATATGATATTGTTGCGGCGTGCAACCCGGTCCAAATTATAATATTACTGCGGCGTGCACCCGATCCATATATAATATTGTTGCGGTATGCAACTCGCTCCACATATATAGTTCAATACCAATCACAAAGAGAGTCCCGCAAGGGAACAATAAAGAAACAACACTATCCCGGTAAGGGAATTAACAGTATAAGTAAATACGTCCCGACAAGGGAAATCAGCTATAACCAAACTTATTCCAACATCTAACTTCACAAAAGAAACCTCAACTAGCACCAATACCCAACCATATGCAATTTCTACGAGAATAATCATAATCCTTGCTCAACACCGAGAATTAACAACTTAGGCATTTAAGACTCATGGTCATGCTTGACACCAATGTATAGATACTCATCACCATGCCTATACATCGTACTCAACAAGTAACACGTAGCAAATAGGACACAACTCCTAATCCCTCAAGCTAAGGTTAGACCAAAAACTTACCTCGATGCCACAAACTCAGTTCAAGTCTCAACTATCGCTTTACCTCTTGATTCCACCACCAATTCGCTCGTATCTAGCCACATGTTACTTAATTACTTCAATAAATACTAAATAAATCAATTCTAATGCATGAAAATAAGTTTTCGAACCAAAACCCGAATACCAATTCCCCGCCGAACCCAAATATATAATTTGTTTTGAAATCGGACCTCAAATCGAGGTCCAAATCCCCAAAATTTGGAAAAACATAGGTTCTACCCAAAACACCCAATTTCCTCCATGAAAATCATTGATTTTGAGTTGAAATCATGTGAAAAGATGTTAAAGATTGAAGAAAACAAGTTAGAAATGACTTACAATCGATTTGGAAGAGAAATTGTCTTTGAAAAATCACCCAAGAGTGTTTTGGTTTTGAAAGAGTGTGAAAAATGAAAGATTTTCGGCTAAGTTATAAAATTGGAGGTCGCAGATGTCGCAATTGCGACCAGTTGCGAACCCAGAAGTCTGCTACCTTCGCATTTGCGAACAAGGATTCGCATTTGCGAAACCTGAGGAATCCAGGCCTCTTCGCATTTGCGATGTCGCATTTGCGACAATCACTTTGCATTTGCGAATAAGGAAGCCCAGGCCACTTCTTGCATTTGTGACACTTTGCACGCATTTGCGAGCCAGGCTTCGCAAATGCGAAGACTGCAGGCCTGCAACATACCAGCAAATTCCGAAGTTAAAATTCAACTTCGTGGCCTATCCAAAACTCACCCGAGCCCTCGGGCCTCCAAACCAAACATGCACACCAACCTAAAAACATCATACGGACTTGCTCGTGCATTCAAATAACCAAAATAACATCAACAACTATGAATTTAGCATCAAAATCATAAAATCACTTAAGAACATCAAATTTTCCATTTTTTCTCAAATAAGGTCCGATTCACGTCATTTCAAGTCTGTTTCTTACAAAATTTTACAGGCTCGACTCAAATAATATATAAGACCTGCACCGAACTCCAGAACCAAAATAAGATCCCGATACCAATGGTTTCAAACATAAATTCTTTTCTTTATTTCATAATTAATTCAACAGAATAATTTCTTTCAAAAATTCATTTCTTTAACTTGGGACCTCGGAATTCAATTCCGGGCATATGCCCAAGTCCAATATTTTCCTGCGGAACCTCCGGGACCATCAAATCACGGATCCGGGTCCGTTTACCCAAACTGTTGACTGAAGTCAAATTAAATTTATTTTAAAGGCAAAATTCATCATTTTCACAGATTTTCACATAATGTCTTTCTGGCTACGCGCTCGGACTACGCACGCAAATCGATGAGATACTGAAAGAGATTTTAAAGCCTCGAAACTGTGATGCCCCGGCCAGTTGTCTCATGAGTTACCACTTCATTTCTCCCATTTCTGCTTCTTTATGCTTTGTTTTCCGTGTAATATGGTATCGGGTTGGTCGGATCGAATTCGGGATGATTTTGGCAAGGTTTGAGACACTAAGTTTCTATTAAGGAAGTTTAAGTTGGAAAAGTCAATTGAATGTTGAATTATGTGTTAGAGGGCTCAGATGTGAGTTCTAATGGTTCGGTTAGCTTCGGGAGGTGATTTATGACTTAGGAGCGTGATCGGAATGAGTTTTGGAGGTTCGGAGTAGATTTAGGCTTGAATTGGCAAAGTTGACATTTTAGCGATTTCCGGTTGGTAGGCGAAATTTTTATATAGGGGTCGGAATGGAATTCTGAGAGTTACAGTAGTTCTGTTGGGTTATTTGGGATATGTGTGCAAAATTTCAGGTTATTCGGACGTGGTTTGGTTGGGTTTTTTATCAAAAGTAGAATTTGGAAGACTTTAGGAAGTTTGGCTTGAATCCGATATGTTTCGGGGGATTTGATGTTGTTTGAGGTGTTTTGATGATTGGAACAAGTTTGAATAAGGCATTAGGATTTGTTTGTGCTTTTGGTTGAGTTCCCGGGTCCTCGGGGTGATTTAGGATGGTTAATGGGAAGTTTGGATTGTTGTTCCAGCTGCTCAATTGCTGCTTCTGGTATTTTTGCACCTGCGGATTGGGGACTGCAAGTGCGGTGCTGCAAATGTGAGAGAGGGGCCGCAGAAGCGGCCGGAGGTATTTTGACTGACACCGCAGAAGCGGGTATGGGACCACATATACTAAAAGGTCTGGGTAGAAGGTATATATTGTCTCCTTCGCAAAATTTTGCTATGTTCATCATTTTTGAAAACGGGAAGGAGGCTAAGGCATAAGATTTCAAGAGGAATCAAAGGATATCATATGGGTAAGTTCCCTAAGCTTAATTACTTGGTTTTAAGATCATTTTTCCATTGTTTAATCATGGTTTTAGTGGAGATTAAGGAAGAAAAATTGGGGATTAGAGCTTGAGTTTAAGAGGCTTTTAATTGGGGATTTGAAGGACCATTTGGGGTCGAATTTGAGAACTATTGATATGTATGAACTCGTGGGGAGATAAGAAATCTATTGATGTAAAAATTATCAAATTCCGAGATGTGGGGTCGGGTTTTGGTAATTTCGGGATTTATGTTGTAAATTGATTATTTTCGCTTGGGCTTCGTTCCCTTAGAATATTTTGACATCCTCGTTCTGATTTTGGATAGATTCGACGCGAGTGGAGGCCAATTCGAGGGGCAAATGCATCGCGAGCTAGAGATTTGACTCGTTCAAGGTGAATAATGATTGTTAATAATGTTCTGAGGGTTTAAAACCTCGGATTGCACATCGTAATGCTATATTGAGGTGAGACACACGATTGATCGAGCGTGGGGTCGTACAGTATTGGGGATTGTGACTTGGTCCATCCCGATTGATGATTTTACCGCGTATTTGATTGAAAATTATTTGCTATCATCATTATATGTGTTGAATGCCATATTTGGGCTTCGTGCCAACTATTTAAATCCTTCGGGGCTTTTTACTGATATTTCCTCACTATTTGACTTTATATTTGAACTCAGTCATGCTATTTTCCCACTGTTTTCATACTCAACCATGTTTACTCAGTTTTATTACTTAAATAATATTTTAAATGATGTTTGGGCTGAGAAACACTGTTTTACTATTGACCGCGGGGCTTGTGAGGATTTTAACTGAGTAAGTTCGAGGGCCTATGTTGTGAGGAAACACTGATATTAATTTGAGGCCGAAGGCCTGAGATATATACGCCACGAGGTGGCTTGATTGATATGAGGCTGAGGGCCTAGTGTTGATGCCACGAGATGGCTTGATATTGCGCTTGGGCCGTAACTGGCCCCTCCAAGAGTCTGCACACTCCCAGTAGTGCGGATGCCCATTGTGATATGAGATTGAGCCTGAGGGGCTTGTATTGTTCTAAGTGGTTGCCCGAGGGGCGGATTTATTGATACTGTGCCCGAGGGTTGAACCTTTATGTGTTTATTTTTCATAATTGCTTGTCAATTACTTGCTTAATTGTTGAAAAAGGCTTTTTAGGAAGTAAAATTTGTTACAAAGGATTTTGCCTATCTTTCACTGAATCACTGATTTTTAAATGGCTTTACTGCTTCATTATAGAATGCTTTGTGTTTTACGTGATTTCTTGCTTTCAGTCTTTATTTACATTTGTTACTCACTGAGTTGGAGTACTCACTTTACTTCCTGCACCCCTATGTGCAGATTCAGGCGTTGCTGATCCTGCCAGTGCGAGTTGAGAGCTCCCGGCGGACATTCGGAATTCACGAGGTAGCTGATTGACGTCTGCAGACCCGTATTTCTGCCTTTTTATTATTTATATCTCTTATCAGACATTTGTAATAGTTCGTTGACTTTTTAGACTTGTATTAGGTTTTATAGATGCTTATGACTTGTGACACCACGGTTTGGGATGTGGTTGGTTGTACTTCTGCATTTTTATTGATATTATTAGCTACTTCGTATTATTAATCATGTCTTAGACTGTTTTATTATTTTTTTAACTATTTAAAGTCGAATTGGGAATAGTTGGCTAGCCTTGTCTTCACGAGAGGTGCCATCACGATCGGTTCCGGGTTAGGGTCGTGACAAGGTGGTCTCAGAACCTAGGTTACATAGGTCTTACGAGTCATGAGCAGGTTTAGTAGAGTCTCGTGGATCGGTATGAAGACATCTGTATTTATCCTCGAAAGGCTACAGAACCTTAAGGAAAAACTTCATATTCTTGAAATTCTTGTCGTGCAAATTTGTTGACCCGAGTACTAAACTTCTGTTATTCTATTCTCTCACAGATTGTGAGGACGTGCACTACCGGTCAGGATGGGCGACCACCAGTACCACCAGCTGTGGCGACCAAAGGCCGAGGATGTCGTTGTGGTTGCGGTAGGGGCAGAGCTGCTAGGGCAGCACCTGCAGATCCACCAGCTGCCCTAGTTCAGGACCAGGTCCCAGCTATGGACGCTCTAGCAACACCAGCTCAGGCACCAGCTGTGCCCATCATGATTTCGAGTCTTCAGGAGGCCTAGGCTCAAATCTTATCAGTTTGCACTGGCCTAGCTCAGGCAGTTTCAGCCATTACAGCCGCAGCTACTTTGCAGGCCGGGGGAGGCAATCAGACTCCCGCCGCTCGCATACCTGAGCAGGTCGTGTAGGGACTTTAGACACCACCGGAGGCACATCCAGCCCAGCTGGTTGCATCTGCTCAGGATTATGTATTTCCTGCCATGCCGGAGGACGAGTAGCGTAGGTTGGAGAGGTTTTGTAGACTTCAGCCTCTATCATTCCATGGTGCAGAGGGCGAGGATACCTAGGGCTTTTTGGACAAGTGTCAGAGGATGCTTCGTACAGCGGGTATTCTAGAGACTAGCGAGGTCGCTTTTACCAACTATCAGTTTCCAGGAGCTGTTTTCACTTGGTGGGACGATTTTGAGAGGCATAGGACTATTTGTGCAACACCCCTTTCCTGGCAGCAGTTCTCCATTCTCTTTCTAGAGAAGTATGTGCCGCAGTCTCGTAGAGAGGAGCTACATAGGCAGTTTGAGTGGTTGCATCAGGGGGTGATGACCGTGTCGCAGTATGAGTTGAGGTTCTCCGAGTTGGCTCGTCATGCCATTTGGTTGGTCCCGATAGATAGGGAGAGGATTAGGAGGTTTGTTGATGGCCTCACTTATCAGCTTTGCATTCTTATGACCAAGGAGAGCGTGACTGGTGCTACTTTCGAGGAGGTTGTGGATATCACCCGTGAGATTGAGTCTGTTCGTCGCCAGGAGAAAGAGGAGAGAGAGGCTAAGAGGCCTCGAGAATCTGGTAGCTACAGTGGTGCTCTTTCGAGGAATCAGTTTCAGCACGGTAGAGGCCGTCCATTCAGGTCTGCTCAGCCAGCTCGCCCAAGTTATCGTGGGGCATCGTCGGGTCATGGTTCTCACTTAGTGCCCTTCCGGCTCAGAGTTCGACCCGTGCTCCATCAGTTTAGGGCTCTTCTATGCCGAGTGCATCTGCTAGTCACTCTTGTGTGAGGGGTTCCCTTCAGTCCCCTTCTCCAGCACCTGGGAGTTGTTTTGAGTGTGGTGAGATGGGTCACATGTGGAGGTAGTGTCCTTGTCATTTTGATAGTTCATTTTAGCAGA